AGATATCTTCGGACAAAGTTTTTGTAAAATTCAAAACGTCTATCAAATATAAGCTGCGGCAAAATTGGTTACAAACTTTGATCGGGTGCTGGTCAAAATCCCGACAAACAGAATCCCGACAGGTCATAATCCCGACAAAAAAATCCTGACAGTAAAAATCCCGACAAATCCCGACAAAAAAAATTATTGTTTATTTAAGCTAGGGTAAGATTAGGTGAGTGCATAGGTTAGGGCTAGGGTGTGCGCCTAGGTTAGGGTTAGGGTATAGGTGATTTTATATAGTAAAATTGCTCAACGAACACTTTTTTTGATTGTCGGGATTTTTGATTGTCAGGATTTTTTTGTCAGGATTATGACCTGTCGGGATTTTGTTTATCAGGATTTTGACCCAAACCCCTTTGATCGAAGATATCTCGGCACCCACCTGACCAAATTCGATCACTTTTTTTTCTTTGTATTCTACGGCTTTCTATAATTAAAATAAAAAAAGATGATCGGATTTGGTTAGGTGGGTGTCGAGTAGGGTGTATGGCACGGCTAAGAAATTTTGCATGCCAGATGGCATACTATTTGCTAAAGCTCGTGCCAGGTATGCCAGGTGGCATGCCTTTAAACCACGTTATAAATATACTTACTTTGATTGGCCAATTATAATACACATGTTGCATTACCATTTGGAATGTTCTGGAACCTTGATCTCAATTCTACTCAAAATTCACTTTTCATTCGGAATATTTTAGAATATATATAAATGACATGCCTATAGACTATTTGTGTTTTGGGTATGCCATTGGCCACCATCAGCATGCCATATTGGCATGCCCATGACTTCCATGCCATTCACCCTAGTGTCGAGATACCTTCGATCAAAGTTTTAAAAAAAGTGATCTACATAGGGTATGGAAATATCAATTCCTTTAATAAATATAATTTGTAGTTCTTTATAATTTATTATGATAATATCATATGATAACAATAAACATGAAAAAAAAGGTTGCACATTTTATTTTCAGATAACTTCTATTTCTTTTTCTAATTTCAAAACCTTATTTTCGAAATATATTAATTATTACGATGATATCATATAGGGTTTTTGCCTTGAAAATAACCTTATGGTATATGATAAAGTAAGATCATTTTCAAGGCTAAGACCTGATATAACTTCTCTGCCTTTAAAATCCAAAACTAAAATAGGTTATTTTGTATCTTTACTTATTTTAAAATAAGCAATGAATCAAAACTTATCAAATTGGCAAATATTCAGTTGGTTAATTTTTGCCAGATTTTTCAGAATTTATGAAAACAGCCGTAACAAGAAATATAAAAAATGCACTATATATTAATTAGACGTTTATAATAAACATATTGCACGAAGTACATGTTAAAAGAAGAACCTGTATATAAATAAGCTTGTATATAAATAAATATTATTTTTATTTATATATTGCTAGTGGTAAAACTGACAATTCCTGCAGCGCTAAATCCAACGTCATAAGACCAAAAATCATAACTAAGACCTGACTCAAAGTCCCTCCACGGAATCAGCAAGAAATTAGGAGAAATGTGCTCCCTATGAAGCCATAAATAAACTAAGCCTAAAGCAGCCTCAGGAGCGTAAAAGGATCAAAGCAAATCACAAAAGTATCAGAAAGATGCCATGATTGCATCTACGATACGATTTGTATTTAGAAGGTCCTGGGACCATGGATTAGTGAACTCCCTGGTGAGGTGTAAGAAGAAAACCCATGGATGACTACCTGGTTCAAAATAGAGACAAGCCTCACCAAAAAGGATAAATGAGGCAGTGACTTTGCTGGGTCGAGTAAATAAAAATAGAAGTAAATTAAGTAAATCATGTGGCCATATAAATGAATGTTTATATACGCGTAAGTAAGGGCCTAATGATCCAAAAATTGTTAGTTGATAAAGTGATAAGGAATTTGAGTTCTGTTCTTCTTTTTTCCATCAACATGTACCAAATTTTTGCATAAATAGACTTAAAATTCGCTCTGGTAAAAGGGCAGTTCAGATTGAATAAAAGAAATAAAAATCTGATTTTAATTTAATAAAAAAGTTCATAGTTCTTTTTCCACCTAAAGATCTTCATTTTTCATATAAAACCTATAACAAATTAATCCCTAAAGCCTTTCTCGCCAAATCTTAACCGTCTTACCATTTTTGGTTTGTTGTGTAGTTTTGGTGGTTTTTCTGTATCTTCTTGGTGACTATCTATATATGTGTATTTCTAGTTTAGCCACCAACAATTTTGGTGATGACTGTGAGATCTGATATAACAATCTTAAATCTGCCCAAAATCAGCACAAGTTTTTCTTATTGCTTAATAAAAAAAAAACTAAAACTACAACTACAAAAAAAAAAATAATATATAAAATAAAATCTAAACTATAATTATAGCACAACAAGGTGCAGAAGTGAATATCATTCCTGATAATAATGAAAATAGGATAATTGATACTGTTCTTCGGGATTTAGATTACTCAGGCCAGAATTCTCACAATAGTGATTATAGTTGCACCCCTGTTGCAAATCCACCCATATACAATATTCTTAACAATGGTTGAAATGCTCAACCAGCCCTGGAACCATTACATGCAATATTGTGAGAAATTGCAAATATATTTAGGGAAGCTATGGCTAGTGGTGAGAGACTGAGATTGTAAATTCTTCTTCCTCCTCTGGTTGGTAACCCCTATCATCAAAGTTATATAAATTTATATTCTGGGTCTGGTGCAATATCTGCACTAGCAGGTTATTCAGATAGATCCTTGGGTTTTAGACCAGGGCTAGTAAAGAGTTTTGAGACAGATTTCTTGAAACATTATTTCTTACAAGGGCTCTTTAAATATACAATCAAGGCAATATTTCTGTGTTCCCCACAATTGTAACAAATTAACCAGGCAGCATTATTATTGTTTTGTCTACCATGATTATTATTATAACATGGTCTGGTTTTATTCGTTTCAATCCTTGCCACCAATATAGAGAACAACTTTTTGTAGTTTGTTGATATAGCCTGCATATGATGGTCAGGTGATTTAAATCATCCTCATAGCAAGTATTTCGATTTTCTGCACTATTTTGTTTACTATAATACACACTGGCTTCAATTTTGTGAGCACCAACTAATATTTTCTGGAAATTGCGAGGGTCAGCCACACTTAACCAAGAAGCTATCTTTGGTTTCAAACCTTCTAAGAATATATATACTACATATAGTTGAGGAAGGTGATTTTCTGGGTCCACATAGCACAACAATTTTTAAAATTGTAAGTGTATGCATTCACTCTTTTGGTGTCACGTTGGGTTAAGGAATTCAAATTGGCTTGCCATTAATAGTGTCATTCAGGAGTTGTGAAATAGTATAAAAGTGGAAAACAAAACTACCTTCCCAATCATTTTGTTTATCCCAATACCAGAAGGTTCATTTTACACCATTGTATCAATTGAAGGCAACACCACACAAATATCTTGAGGCTATTTTTACCTTGCATTGAGGGACCAATTGTTGGCATTTGCAGCTTGTTCAAATGCCTCTATCTATTTGAGAGGGTACTCATCTTCTTCTCCATGGAAGGGTTCAACCCTTACTAAATTAGTTTCTTGTAATAGAGGACAAGCAGTATTAATAACACTGGCAGAAGTATAATGCAATGACCTTGCTGAAATGTAAAAAAATTAAAAAGTTAAGCAGAAGAATGGTTGAGAACCAACTGGCACTTCTATAGTACCACTGATAAATGGAATGCCCCAATTAGTGCCTCCACAAGCTCCACCAGTCTCAAAGCTCTTAGCAAGACCTCAATATAGAAGAGGCCCATCAATTATTGATCAGTTGGAACCATATAATATAGCCAGGATATTCTAGAAATAAGAGCAAACACTACTTATGAACAGCTTTTACAGTATTCTAATCAGTATTGTTTTTTTGCACAAGCCTTAAAAAGACCAATTGTAGTTAAACTAGCCCAACTATTAGAAATAGAAACAGATATAGTGCAGCCACCAAATAATAAACAAACAACCACTGCCTGTTGCTATATTTAGATAAAAAACAACCCAATTTTTGCCATACTGTACTTGGGTGCTGCTATAAGCTTGATATCAAAAAGGATGATGGAAAAATTAAAATTAAAAATTGATGAACTATCCCAACGGTCATAGTAATAGCAAATAGTACTCAGGAGCGAGTCCTAGAAAAAATTAATAACCTTGAAGTGGCTATACATGATATGTCAATCTCTACAACATTTCAAATAATTGAATTCACCAACGACTTGTTGTTGTTGGGTATGGATTGGTTTGTAAAAGCTCGAGCCAGGTTGCATTTTGCAAAAAAAAGGTTGTATCTTACATATAATGGAAAAATCAGCAAAATCTCAATCTTTACTAATAGAGGACCCCTGAACAAAGTTGCTTTGAACTTCCCAAAAGTGAGAATACTTTCAATGAGTTCGACTATAATAATGAGGCTTTGGATAAAGCTAATTATATTTTACTAAGGAAACTTTTGAAAAAAATATTTTTAAAAATCGGTGAATTGATTCTTGTAGCTTTGCTATACTTAACCAACATAGAAAAACTACCAAATGAAGACTTTGACCCTGAAGGTAAACCATTTGTTGAGGAAAAATTAGAAATGGGTGTAATGAATGCCCTTTAAACTGGGAAGAAAAGGATAGAGCTTGTGGGTTCTCGCAGAAAAGGTAATTTTTGCTAGTAGAACAAATGAACTAGTACAAACAGATGTTATAACGTATAAAATAAACACTAGAGCCACCGCTCTAATTAAGCAGACACCATATCATGCTGCCTCTTGTATACGTGCCTTCATTAAGAAGGAAGTGGCACAATTAAAGACCAAAAGATTGGTACAAAACTCAAAAAGCCCATGTGCTTCTCTGGTGTTAGTTGTCCCAAAAAAGAGTAAGAAACTGTGAATGTGCATCGACTATAGGAAGTAAATGCAGTAATTACAAAAAATGTATTTTCCTCCCCATATAGATGATCTTCTCGAAGTGTTTGGTCAGGCTGTTTGGTTTACCTCCCTAGATCTATTGTCTGGGTATTGGCAAATAAAACTTATAAAAAGAACTAAAAAAAACTGCGTTTGCAGTTTCTTTCAGTATGTATGAGTTTGTTGTCATACCTTTTGTCCTCTGCAATGCTCCTGCCACCTTCCAGTATATGATGAATTATGTGCTAGCTAATTTCATTAAACAATTCATCATAGTATATCTTGACGATATTGTAATATACTTTGCTTCTTTCAATGAACACTTGTATCATATCGCCGCTGTCTTTGAAATATTAAAGGCTGTGGGTCTAAAGTTAAATTTTAATAAGTGTGTCTTTTTCAGATCCCACCTCCAATTCCTAGATCATGTTGTTGGACAAGAAGGAGTTTGTCCTGATAACAATAAAGTAGAGAAAGTTCAAAATTTTCTTACCCCAGTAAACTTAAAACAACTCTATGGATTTGTTGGGCTGGCTTTGTACTATAGAGAATTTATTTCTAACTTTGCCTCGATTGCTTGTCCTCTACATCATTTGTTGAAAAAGGATGTTAAGTACAAGTGAACCCAGAAGCAAAAGGATGCATTTAATCGACTAAAACAGTATCTAACAGATGTACTAGTGCTCCGTTACCCCAATTTCAATAAGACTTTCATCGCGCACGCTGACACTTCAGGAACTAGATTGGGTGCCATGCTGGCCCAAAAAGATAATCTAGGAAAGGAGTATGTTGTAGCATATGCTAGTCAAGCCCTAACCAAACCTGAAACTAATTATAGTACTACCAAACTTGAGTGTTTAGTAGTTTTGTAGGCAGTAGAATATTTTTGTTATTATTTTGGTCTAGATCTCTTCAGTGTTGTCACCGATCACACAGCATTAAAATAGCTACAAACCACAGCATTAACTAGTTGTAGGCCTATTGGGTACCTCAGTTGCAGCTATATAATTTTCAAACTATACACCATTATGAACGAAAACATAGCAATATAGATATATTGTCAAGAATTCCAGAATTATCTACATTGCCATTGATAAAAATCTCTGAAAAGAGTTTAGAACCCCAATCAATGATAGTAAATTAATAATAATAATAATAAAAAATAAATAAATAAATAATAATAATAATAAAAAATATATATATATAAATTTGGTTTATATTTAAAATCCAGTTCAGGTTACAGGTGTCCTAGCCTCATAAAAAAAAAAAAAAAAAAAAAAAAAAAACTCACCAATCAATTCTCTTGATAGAGCCCGACCATTATCAGCACTTGGCTCAGTATTTAGATATGAGATATTTGCCACCAACTGTGGATAAGAAGCAGCAACAGAAGTTGATAAAAAAGGCTAAATTTTTGAAATACAAAAAGGCCTTCTGTATAAAAATGATCGAAAAAAAAGTGAACTTATTGCAGGTGCTACAAAAGTATGAAGTGGACCCAATATTGTTTTTAGTACATACCCACTTGCTTGAAGGGCACTTTGGCCACAATATAATGTTCGAGAAAGTACATAATTCTTATTTTTGGTTCTAGATGTACCAGAATATATATAGGTATGTTCAAATATGCGACCCATGTCAACGTAGGACCTGGTTTCATACATAAGCTCTGTTGACCTCTATTTCCATATCTGCCTCTTTCCACAAGATTGGGTTAGATTTTTTTGGTCCCCTCCTCTGTATGCTTCGACTGAACTAGTATATATAACAAATGTTTACATACGCGTAAGTAAGGGCCTAACAATCTAAAAATCATTGGTTGATAAAGTAATAAGGAATTTGAGTTCTGTTCTTCTTTTTTCTGTTAACATGTACCAAATTTTTGTATAAATAGACTTAAAATTCGCTCTGGTAAAAGGCAGTTCAGATTGATAAAAGAAATAAAAATCTGATTTTGATCTAATAAAAAAGTTCATAATTCCTTTTCTACCTAAAGTCTTCATTTTTTATATAAAACCCATAACAAATTAATCCCTAAAGCCTTCCTCACCAAATCTTAACCACCTCACCATTTTTGGTTTGTTGTGTGGTTTTGGTGGTTTTTCTGTATCTTTGTAGTAACTATCTAGACACATGTATTTCTAGTTTATCCGCCAACAATATACAAGTTGCAAGTTGGTTCATAGCTCTACAAATTCTCATAACATTATAAAAGATAAGTGTTTGGTGATTTTTTGTAATGATAGGCCTCTAAATTTTTTTAAAAAATATTTTCCAGTTTTGATGCTTTAAAATATCATATTTCTATATTTTACCAGAGATAATATTTCATCATGACAGATTTGTAAAATACCCGCAAAATTTGAAAAATTTGACCCCCTATTGTGTGTAATTTAATTGACTTCACATATATGTAATGTTATTATTCTGATCTAATGATGATATACTTTTTATTATCCATAAAATACATCAAACTGCACATTAGTGCAACCCATTCATTTTAAATTTTTGTACAATTTAGATAACCCATTTTAAATTTATCATTATACCTAAGACAAGGTCTTATTAAGACAATGCATCTTAGACAATATAATTTAGAACCTTCGATGTCTTAGTTATAGAGTTATATAATAAGAATCAGATACTCCCTTGTGTTATATTTAAGTTTATGTATTAGTTTATTAATTTAGTTTATTCTTTTATTGTTGTATTATTTATTTCTTTTATTATTATTCTTATCTTGCATTTCTAATTGTACATAATAAATCCTTCCCGATAATTAAAGTTTGATCTGTTAAGTGATAACCTGACTCAGCTTAAGATTTTTGTGACATAATATCACATGTACAAGTATTATAAATCCCAAACCAAGTCAACCATCGGAGCTAAATTGTAATTGCTCTCCCAACCGATGGTAAAACTAGCCCTAAAAGTTCGGTATCAGACCCGAACCAAACTGAGTTTCAAAAATCAGGTTTAAATTTTTCAAGATTCTGATTCTAAGTTCAGGATTGTGATTGTGACCCTTTCGGGATTGTGACCCTTTTGAGATTGTGACCTTTTAGGATTGTGACCTTTCTGGATTGTGACCCTTTCAGGATTGTGACCCTTTCAGAATTGTAATCCTTCATATTGTGATTTTTTAGGATTGTGATCTTTCAGTAATTTTTTTTTCAGAATTTAAAATTTCAAGATATTATAGTTTCAGGATTTTGTTCTTTAAGGATTTAGTATATCAGGATTTAGTATCTTCAGGATTTTGATATTCAGGATTTTGACATAGAATCACTATAGATACTTCCGGGTGAGTTTTTAATAAAAATTTTTATACGTTTTTCAATATTTTCTAGACAAAGAAAAATTTATAAAATTTTTACGATTTAAATATTAAGAGCCAGGTTGAGCGGTTCACTTTTAGAATTCTATGTTATGAGAAACAATTATTTAATTTTGTATGGCTTTAAAATTAGTACAATGTTGTGCTGGAAATTTTCACGGTCAAATAGGTAGAGTACGCAAATTTGCTTTACCTTACATCATTGAAGCTTCTCTTGAACCCAATGCCATCTCAAATGAAGAATACATTCCATCTATAAAATGTTTCATTCAAAATGTGAATATCAAATTGATCTTGACTTTTTTCACACACAGGTTATATAAGAATTGTCGTCGCACGGATGTGCGTTTAAAGAACTGTATTATAATCAATGATTCCTGATTAAACTATTTTTGCAGAAGATGACGAAACTATTAACGATTAAGGAAACTACTGAATTAATTTTACCAACAAAATACGAATATAAAATGGTTTACTTCAATAGGCACGACCTCTGGATATTCTAAGTTTAAATTCTTTAAAGTTTACCAACCCATATAAAAACATAGTAATTTTTAACTTAAAATCTGAAGTAGGTAAAAATAGAAACTACGCATTATGAAATGAAAAAATAATAATAGTCTTGTGCTTCATCAATCGTCATAGGTTTGTTATTTGTTATAGTTTTTGTTTCATCAATCCATCTTATTACTTGTAAAAATTTTTTAATATATTTATAATATTATTAATTTATACTCCTTTATACCTAATAAATTCGATGTTAAAATGGTATCTACTAATTGGTAAAGGCTTAAGGTTTGTAAGTTGTGAATGATCTATTATTATGTTTAGGGTCCGCATTTGAGATTTGAGTCAATTTTATTATAATTTAGATACTGACTTTTTAGCTACATTGATAATAGTACATATAAAATTGCATAAAATATTTTTGGACCACAGATAAAAAGAATTTAACAATCAACAATAATACGTCCAATAGGTGTCAATGTAACATATAAATCAACTTCCTTTCTTATATTTTCATCTAATTTTGAATATTTGTATACACCCAAGTAATTCAAAGTTTTGTTTCGTTTGCAGAATTCGGTTATCACCTTAGTATTTTTCTCATTACCAATGTCATAAATTAACAGCTTTTTTAGAGGTGCATTACAATGATTGAGAAAAACATCTATATATGGTATTAGCCAATGATTATTCCATAAGTCAAGATATTGCAATGTTAACGGCAATATTTCTGCAAATTGCATAACTTGTAATTTTAATTCTTTTGATACGTAAACCATGCACCGTAATGAGAGAAATTGAAGCTTTTGTAAATTACCAATAAGCTCTAAAAGTTGTGTGGGAAATACACTAATCGAAATATATAGATATGTAATGTTTGGGCAAAAAGACTTAAGTGTTTCTAGTAATAAAGTTTCATCCCGAATTTCTTTATCTATTGTTTTAAGTTTTAATCGTTGTAATAATGAGCCAGACTTTTCTAAAATTTGCAATATAGTCGATGCATTAATCTGGAAATTAGTAATCTCCAAAGTGCTGATTTTAAAATCTAACATTTTAATCAGTTCTA